ACTTGCTCTTCCCTCTTCCTACAGGAGGAGTGGGATGGGATACCCAGAAGGGAATAGGAGGAAGGAGTGGTTTTATCGTCAGCAGCTCCACAAGGGATTGCTGTCCTGAGAGCCCCAAATATGGCTTTGCTTTCACTTTTATATTTTTTCTTCTCTATGGGACATCCTTCTATTAGTGGGAAGCACCAGACAAAGTTACAGAAGCAGAACAGCAGTTAAGGGGGACAAGGCATACTGGGGAGATTTCCCAGGGCCATTATATTCTCTCATAAAAGTCACAGTTGCCAGGTAATGAAAACCACAAAGGAGGAGGTGGTTTCCTCCCTCATCACTGCATGAACTAGCTCATGTCCTCTGGTTTTCATGTTGGTGCTGAGTAAATACTATGATGCAAATGGACATAGCCACTCCACCCTCAACCCACCTGCCAACTGTTCCATAAGCAACACTATTCATGGGACCATGCAGCACACAGACTGCCCAGGGAGTGACCATATCTGGGTGGGATGACATCCTCTTGGGACAGATCACTGCACCAAGATAGAGGCAATAAGAAGAAGTGCCATGATAATAAGAGGGGCACATCAGAATTAGCAGACAAGCATCCTTTGCAGGAGCGGCCAGGTGCAGCTGGACCAGCATAGTGACTGAGAGTTCAGGGGGGTAGAATGTGAACTGGACTTTGAGTTAGGACTTCAAGTAGTTTTCATTTGCAAAATGTAGAAAGAAAAGGTACAGTCACCTGGTCATTCATTCTCAGTCCTATTTGCTGGCTTCTTCACATCTCAGTTTCCAACACTGGTGTGTCCCAAGCTCAGTTCTGGACTACCCCTCTACACCACCATCCCCCTGGTATCTCTTACAAGCACCTGCCCCCTCCCCGGCCTAGCTCCCTCCTCTGAACCACAGACTCCGACCTCCAACTCCACTGTCACATCGTTGGGAGGTTATAACTCAGCCTGTCACGCTTCTGCCCAAACAGATTGATATGTGCTTTTTTCTTCATCCCAACTTCTACCTTCTGATTATTCAGTCCCCAACCTAAGCACCTGATTCCTTCTCTTCTCACATTTGCCATCTGATTTGTAGCATGTCACACTGGTGTCACCACTCCTAAACTTCCACTGTTATCACTGTGGTCACAGCCACCGCAATCTGGCATCTAGAATTCTGTAGAGCCCTCCAGGAAACCATCTAGGTCCACTCCTCCCCTCTCCTTCCCCCTTTACCTCCTCTTTCTACCCCGCACTTTGAATCATCTGCCCTCCCAGTCGATTCTTGGCCCTGGTCTCCCTTGACTGCCCTCTGAGGTTTCCCCTAGGCCATTAGGAAAATGGCCTTACCAGTATCCCATGGAGCCAACCCCCCATTACTTCCTCCCTCACCAAGGCCTTTGCCCTGAGTACACCAAGGAGCACTCCCTAACTCTCCATGGAATCTTTGCTCAGAGATCCCTCCCTCAATGAGGCCTACTGTGACCAGGCTTTTAAAAATCGAAACAGAGCGCTTTCCAAACCTTGTACCTGTGTGTGCCAATACAACAACCAGTTCCACTGCTGCGTTCTGCAGGGTACGTACTCCCATCATGGCCAAACTCCAGCCATCAGCCTGAGTTCAGTGGATCCAAAGCTGGGAAGATAGCATCAGTGATGCCAGGACACGAGGAGGCCTCTGTAACACAAATCCCCCTTCTAACATCCTCATGTGTTCCATACTGTCCTCATTTATCATATTCACCCTGTGTTTGTCTTCCCCAACTAGAATTTTAAATTTCTGGAAACTGGTTCAATATATCTTTTAGTCCCTGATATGTCCTGAGTAAACTATAACCCTGGGTCAGATCTGACCCGCAGGCTGTTTTTATAAATATTGTGTTACAAAGTTGTGTTATAGGAACGCTCACTCACGTATTGTGTGGACTCATAGCACACAAATTCCTGAAGGCTCCATTCCCATAGCCTATGCATCTCCAAAGACCAGCTTCCTGATACTTTCATACTGGGTTAAGATGTCAGTATACAAATTTGGGGGACACAGGGTTCCGTGTCCACATATTGCAATGCTTTACCCAATATGCCTATGACTGTGTGCAAAGGGCGACACCTTGGTCAGCACATTTAGCTGGATGGTGACACTGAGCCATGACACCTGCTTTCGTTTCCTCCTGAGGATGCTCTGGGGTCAGATATGGACATGGCTGTGACCTTCTCCTGGGCTTTAAAGAGGAAAGTTGGATGTAAAGCTGCTGTCTCCCCAGGACTGGCCCTGAGCCCAGAAGCCTCCTCCATCTAACAAGGTGTGACAAGGTTAGATGCACTGCAGTTATATCACAGTGTCACCTCGCGGACCTCTGGCAACTTAATTATTTTATCCCCATTTTACAGAGACCAGATGGAGTTTTCAGATATTTAAGTATTGTCCCCAAAGTCATCAGACTGTCCAGGGGCAGATTGGAACTGGAGGCAAAGTCTTGAACTCCAGCGCCTTTGTGTCATTTCTGACAGCTTGTGAAACATGAGACTCCACAAGGAGCATGCGCCCAAGGGCCAGTCTTCTGTATTTGAGATAAGGGACAAAACATCTCAGAGGGACTTACCTTCTTCATGGAACATCACGAACACATTTTTAAAGCTATGATACGGAGTTCTGATTCATTCAGTCCACTTAATGGTTGCATGAAGTGCTAAGGAACTCAAAGGCTGAGGATCTGTGAGGGGAGACACCACCGAGAGTTCAGGCTTAATACATCAGAGCCTGTCGTGAGGGTCACTTGCCCACCCAGCGTTTCTGTCTGCAACTCTCTGCAGAGGAGGTGACACATGACTTGACAGATGAGAAAGGGACATTGAGCAGGGCCAAGGTTCAAACCAACTAACCAGATTCCAAGGCCTGGCCTTGGTGACATGGTCACTTTCCCCTATCATTCCACTCTCAGTGTTGGTGTTAATTCAATTTAAGCTTGGATCATAAATCAAACTGCCTTGGTGTTGGAATGGTAGCAGACAATAAATGATAACACAGACATTTAGAGTGGAGGAGCCCCGTGGGTCAACCAGGCTGAAAGAGACATTCTCAGTGGCGTTTGTTAGCATCACTCAAGGAGCTGTAACAAGGCGGATGATCACTCTGGGGGAATCTGACCTCTTCTAATTTGAAAACCTACTCTAAGTGCTTGTGAGGTGGAGCCAGAGTTGATAACCAGAGGTTTAGTGCAATCTTCTTATTTTAGAGACAAAGAACCCATCCCTGAAGCTTTGCTTTTCCTTTTTTTCTCTTTCCTCCTTTCCACAGTAGTGGGGACAGAACCCAGGATCTTCATATTGGTTGCATTCTCAGCCTTTTTAAACTTTTTATTTGGATGCAAGTCTCACTAAGTTGCACAGACAAGGTTCAAACTTGCTATCCTCCTGCCTCAGCCTCCCTGAGACTTTTTAAAGAAATTTTCTCCATTAATGCTGTATAGGGACTGACCTTGAGACCAAGGCCTAAGTGTCTCCCTGCCTACTGTCCTTTGCTTTGTGGTATTCCCTACTGTCCCAGAATAAACATGAAGGGAGTCCACTAAAATGTGGAATATTTAGAATTCTCTTAGAAAGGGCCTTAAAATCCTCTGAGATCTCAGAACATCCTGGTAAGGCAGGGTAGAGACCAGAATGATGGTCCTATTTTTCTCATCTGGGAAAACCTGCAAGCTTAAGTGGCAGGAGGCAGTGCAAACAACTCTTCCCAGGGTGAAAAATCAGGTATGGACTTCTGCATTCCATAGCTGTGTATTCTTTGGTAAATTCCTGAACCTCTCTGAGCATCATGTTCATTAAGGAGAGCTCTGACTCCTCACACTCTTGTGAATGCTGCCTTTGTGCGTAAGGGGTAACCAAAACTGTAATGACCAAACGCACCTGAATCTCTTTGTCAGCTCCTTTGTAGACGGGCCTAGAATCACATGCTGCTTACAGGTGAGAAAACAGAGACTCAGAGAAGTCAAAGTACTTCTCCAGGAGCACGCTGCCTGGTGAGGGTGGACCTGGGACTCTGACTTAGACTGTGGCTTTCCCTCAGTGCTTTCTCCCTGGACCCCGATTGCAGACTCTGCCCCTCAAGCTTTGTTGGTTCTGCCAGGCTTTTTAACACAGACTAGAAAATCAGTTCCTCGTTAGATGCCTGAGTGCATGAAAGGGGAAAAAAAACTGTCCCCGCAGCCTCCATGATCAGCTCCACCCCTGGAAGAGAAGTAATTAAAGCCATGAATCTTGGGCTGCATCTGCCATTAGCAGCAGCAGCAGCAGTCAGCCCCGCACGATCCTCCATGGGGCCACAGGACAAAGAACAGCTGATCTGCAAATGTGCACAAACCGCTTAGCTCTGGATTTACTGTCCCTTGAGGGACCACCAGTCATGTTTATGAGGGAGATAATCACTTACTATCATCAGAAGCAGCAGCTAGAGACCCTGAAGGAGGCAGCTGGACCAACCCAGTGGCCTCTGGACAGACAGTCATAGGGATGATCTGAGAGTAGCAAGAAATGGGGGCTGGATGATTGGGTGGATGGGGAGAAACTTTTCATTTTCCACGGTCTTTCTTTCAACAAGACTCACCTGTGCTGGAGAAAGGCACCCTCTTATTTCCCCTTAGAAGAAACAGCTGAAACTGGGTATGATGCTGTGCATCTGTGATGCTAGAACTCTGGAAGACCAGCAGGAGGATGGCAAGTTAAACCCTGCCTAGGTATGGTTAGTGACTTAGCAAGACCTCATCTCAAATCAAAATTTAAAAAGGACCAGGGATGGAGCTCAGTGTGAAGGCCCAGCTTCAATCTCCAGCATGCCTTGCCTGCCAAAAAAGCTGAAAGGAGGCAGGAAGAAATCAACCCAACTGTGCTTTTGAGAGTTCATAGCACAAAGAAAACTTCTTTTAATTTTGAAGAGAATGAAACAAAACAAAACAAAGTGGATCAGAGTAAAACAATGTAAATAACACAGGATTTCAGAACAAAGCAGGAAAGGCTATACTTTAAAGGATCATTTCTATAGTGTGTTACTAGCGAAGCTTCTCTGATCGTGTAGAGCACCAGAAACCACGAGGAGGAGGCGTAGTGTTCCTTCCTGAGCATGAAGCCGGCTCTGGGTGTTGCTTGAGTGCAACTGCCACTTGCCATTGATAATCGTTCTTGCTGTCCCCTTGGAGGCAGCAGGGGAAGGGAACACAGGCTGAGTGGCAGAACAAAACAAGAAATCAACAGTGGCTACCATAATATCTGTTGTTTTCGTTGAAATAGATATCCATACCTTCATACACCATGTTAATACAAATCAAAATAGTATAAAAGCAATCAAAATAAAGAATAATGGCCTTACAGGCCTCCAAAACCAGATATTAGGAAATCAATTATGGCTGTTATTTTTTCAAAATAGCTGTCCATACCTTCATGAATATTGAAATAAAATAATTAAAAACAGATTAAAACCAATCAAAATCAAGAATAAAACCATTATTGGCCTTCAAAATAAAATGATAGGAAATCATCAATGGCTACCATGATGTCTCCTTTTCTCCAATGGAGCCATCATCCATAATAAAATCAATGCTTGTAAACTCTTTAGGTGAAGTTCTGGGCATATATAAGCCTATATACATGTACATCTGTCCTTTCTGTACTGGGGGAAAAACAAATCAAAGCAAAAAAAAGTATAAGAAAAACAAGAAACAAGAGTAAAATAACTGTAACCAAGAGCCCAAAACAATAAAAATATAGGTTTTAAAACAAGGTGGTAGGGACATACCAAATTTTGTCATTTTGCATAATTATCTTCAAAAGTCTTACTAGAATTACCGGATATAGTCATGCTAAACTGATCTAATCCCATGGATACTAATCCTAATAGAATTAGTAGCACAATCATTTTAGTAATCTTAAATGCATATATACAAATTTATATCTTTTTTCTTTTCTCTTCCTTTTCTCCTTTTCCCTATCTGAGTTATTCTTTCCTCTTGGAGCAGTTTCCTAATGCCCATCAACTGAGGAGTGGATAAAAAGATGTGGTATTTTTATACAATGGAGTACTACTCAGCTTTAAAGAAAGACCACATTGAGGCTTCTATAGGTAAATGCAGCTTATGAGCATACTCGTAAGTGAAGTAAATCAAACTCACATGTGTAAATACCGTGTTGTCTCTCTAGTATAAGAAACTGGAAGAGTAAATAAGATACAAAATCTTCAATAATATTGTGAAAGGGTAAGAAATTGCATGGAGGAGACTTCGAGAAGCAAATAAGGTGTGGTGTAAGCTCTCCTAATGCATGGTGTCTACCCAGTGTCAACTGTTATGTGACCTGGATCACATACCTTGCCCTCTCTGAGGTTAAACAACATCCTTTATACAAAGCCCAGGAAGCACCATGCTCTGATACTCCATTACTCAGAGGCCTGCAGGAAACAAAGTACAAAGGCCAAACCAGAATGGGCCAGCAGCAAGTGACAACAGGCTGGGGTGCCAGCAGCTCGGGGCAGGGTGGGAGACAGCACCCATGGTCTCTGTGCAAAGTTTGAGTACAACAAAACCACGTCTCCTGGGGACGTGTTTCTTTAAACTAGGGTGATTCTGTGGTCAACCACTGAAGACTGTGGGTGCCAGCTTAGGGCACTTGGATTTGGGGTCTCTGGGATTCTTTCTTGAGAGCAAGGAAATGACCCATGGGGGTTTAAGGATGGCTGTAAGGCAGAAGAGCTGGGGAAAATGATCTGGGTTTTGTGGCCCCTTGCGGCAGTGTTGGGGATGAGGGCCCCTTGAACTCCTCCACTGGGCCCTCTACATCCCCATTACATTTGAAAAGGACTTTGTTTTTCCTGAGTATTTTTTTAAAACTTGAAGGCAGCAAGACAGCGTGAAAATCTGCATTGGCCAGAGGGAGTTCCATTTGCCAGCCTGAAATCTCTGTTGCTTGTTAATTAGAAGAGCCGAGAAATCACCCTTCAAAAACTGCCTTTTCAACTGGAAATGCCAACTGTTCAACCTCTTGTGAGAAACCTGCTGCTGGCCACCTCTGGAGCCCAAGCCCTAGATGGCAGAGTGCCCCAGCCGCACAGTAGAAACAGTCACCCTGTGCCATTTCTGCCTGTTAATTTGTGTGGAGTGTCACACTCACGATGTCTTTATCTGTTTGCCTCAGGAGCCATCCCCAGCTCTGTGCTCCTCCCTGGGACCCGGCTGGCTGAGCCTTCACCCCAAATGCCAAGCCTTCCCTCCAGCCTCCAGCTGCAGCATCTAGAGCTTTGTCTGGCTCCCACCTCACTCCTTGGATGGCTTTGCTCCTGGCTGAACAGAGCAAAGGAAGAGCTTGGGAGGCTTCAATAGTAGGTGGTAATAGCTACAGGAATTGACCTCCCAGGCTTTATGGCCTCCTTTCCTGATGGACGAGTCACAGAAATGCAAAGTGGTCACCTAGGGGACCCTAAAATCCTTCCAGACAGCATTTAGATCTCAGCCCACAGAGAGAGGGGATGCATATGTATTTGGTCTCCTGGCACAGAGCATGGATAACACTTGGGATTTCCTGAGTGGTGACTGGGTGCATCTTTTACTCCATTATTTAGTCTTTGACCTCAGCTGTTGACCCACAGGGTTTCCTGGGTTATAAAAGTATTCTTTGGTCTAATAATCTGACTTTCACTGGCTCCTGGATAGGAGATGGTCACCAGAAAACCAGGCCTTAGTTACAAGATTGGAACTTTTCATCTCACTCCTAGTCCTCCAGGGAAAGAAAAGCTGGAGTCTGAGTTAAATGATCATATCAGGCGGGAGCAGAAGAACATGTCGATAATTCTAGTACTCAGGAGGCTGAGGAGGATTGAAAATTAAGCCAGCCTGGGATGCCCAGTGAGACCCTAGCTTATGGAAAAATAAAAAAAGAAAGAAAGAAAGAAGGAAGGAAGGCAGGCAATCACCCCAACATGGTTAAGCAACCACAAAAAATGTGTGAAGGACAAGACAGAGCGTGTCAGGTTAGTGAATCCATCCACAACCTAAAACAAGGAATGCACCCCATCTCCAGGGAGACAGAAGCACTGTGGCAGGACCCTTCTGGGCCTTGCTCGGTCATCCCTTCACCTATGTGCTTTACAATAAATCAATAAACCTAAGTATTGTCCTGAGTTCTGTGAGCCAACCTGAGGAGAGGCTCATGGAGACCCCAATTTATAGCCAAATTGATCAGAGATATTTGTTAACAGGGACCCACTACTTGTGATTATCCTCTGAAGTTGGGGTGAAAGTCTAGTGGGTCTGAGTCCCTACTCTGTAGGGTTTCTGCATGAGCTCCAGGAAGTTAAAGTTGTAACTGAATTGTAGAACACCAAATTGGTATTCAATGAGTTGGAGAATTGGTTAGAGTGGAAAAGATCCCCACATAGCTGTGTCTAAAACATTCGGTGTAGTACAGAGAAGAGTTGTTTTCCCCTATTTCTAAGGGCAACATTGAAGTGTATCTCCAGAAGTGACAGGCAAGTTTTCTCAGGATGGATAGACAGAGAGCGATTTTACCTGGAGAAGAGAGAGGAAACAAGTCAGTTTCCCATGAGGACCAATATAAGTGGAAGGGTTACAGGTTTGGAGGAGAAGCAGGAACTCTGGGTTGGAAGGACAGGAAAATAAATTTCCTTTCAACAAGGGAAGAACATTCTGCACTGGGGAACAGGTTCATCTGGAGAAAGCATCTCCCCATCGAAGGTTCTGGAGCAGGCACCAACTGGTACCAAGAGCGGGGAGCTTAGAGAGTTAGGTGCCACCTCAGTGTGCACCAGGAAATCTGTGTCCACCTGTGACACTGGATGAGATGGATTCCAACCCTAATTCTGCTATTAATTTGTTGACAGTTACTTACATCACTTAACCTTGTAAAATAATAGCGCTCAGAGAAGACCACTTGGACAGGGGCCCACAGAACCACATTTCGGGGAAAAGCTCTACAAGGTGACCTAAGGTCAAGAGGGAACAGGAGAAGACACTGAGGCTCTTCCCAGCATGACAGGGCTGCTGTGACACTAGCAAGGAGGCTCTGAGTCTCAGAATTAAACTGGGGGAGGATTTTTGCAATTTGAGATGTCTGATTGATTTGAGGAACATAAAGCACGTAAGTAAAAAGTGTTTGTGCCTGAGAGTAGAAAATGACCACCGTGCCCCCTTGCACCCCCCTGGCAGGTGGAGAAAAGCACACCTGACTTAAGACTAAGCTCAGAAGCCCCGAAAGTTCATGAGAGAGCAGAAAAACCTTCTCAAATTCTAGTGAATTTGAGTAGGAAGTAGAGCGGGAAAAAGGACAGCTATGGTTTGAATGAGTCCCCCACAGTTCACATGATGGAAACAACCCCCAAGCAGCAGTGCTGAGATGTGGGATCTTTACGAGGCGATTAGGTCACAAGAGCTTTATGGATAGATTAATCCTGTTATCAAGGAAGTGGGTTAGTCATTGTGGGGATGAGTCGGGGCCCCTCCACATTTCCCCATGTGTGCTGTCCTGGGCTCCTGTCTTCCACCAGGGGTTGGTAAAGCAAGACGGTTGCCTCTAGACCCGGGACTTCCCAGCCCCAGAACTGCAAACAATGCATCTCTGTTCTTTGTAAATTACTAAGTATCATGAATTTGATTTTAGATACATAAACCAAGGATACATTTGATTTTAGATACATAAATCAAGGAAGGAATTAAAATGGCAGAAAAATAGAGAAGAAAGGGAAAAAATACCTGGTGAAGCAGATAGGCTACCTTGTAGGGAATGCTTCTTAGGATCATCCCAGAGATCTGAGCCAGCATGGCCATCCCCTGGGATGGTAGCCAGACACAAGGCTGCTAGACCAGGGCTAGGGATGGAGGCTTTAAAACCTGGATTAAAAAAAAAAAAATTGCTCCAAAACTGGTTTTTCTTCTGTTGTTACCCCCAAAGACCTCAAGATCTCTCTGAACATCTTAGGCCACTGCTATGCGGATGGCCTTTTTCACTTTAGTGGCGTAGTGGCCAATTTGGTTGACAGTCACAGGTGTAAAAGTCCCAACTTTAGTTAACGCAGACAAGACAGTCATCTTTAGCATAGGTCATGAGCCATCTTCAAAGGCTGAAAGACAAGAAAGGGTCCTTTGGACTGGCCTTCCTAGCTGTGGGTAAAATGATAAGGAGCCTGTTGCAAAGTTGTACAAGAAAATGGGCTAAATGACATTGAGA